TAAAAATGTTCAGTGTTAAATATTTTTTAATTTTTTTTTTGTAAATTTTTTTTTTTTTTTTTTGTGATTTGTACAGAGATGCTATTGTAACCAGTCTGGTGAACTGCCTGACAAGTTTTGTGTCAGGATTTGTTATTTTCACTGTCCTGGGATATATGGCTGAACAGAGAAATGTAAACGTTGAGGATGTAGCCAGGGACAAAGGTGAGCTTTCCTTTTTGCTTTTCAATAGTTATATTACTTTGAGTTTTACTGTAAGTGTGCTGCATCAAACCAAAAATAACATACAAGACTTTCAGCTCTGTAAATAAAGCATTTAGTCTTTTAGTTCAAGCTTGTCTTTTGACTTTATGCACCTCCTCTAGGACCCAGTCTGCTCTTCATCACATATCCAGAAGCCATAGCAAACATGGTTGGGTCGACTTTCTTTGCCATCATCTTCTTTGTGATGATGATTACTCTTGGACTGGACAGCACTGTACGTATACACTTGTACCTGTAAATGTACAGAAACAAAAAAATATTTCTAAATAAATATGCATGTGAAGTCAGCAAAAATATATGATATATAGATCTGAAAAATGAATGACAAAGAGAACTAGATTTGTATATCCAGAGAGAAATACCAGTGTTTGCAAGAAAGCAACAAAATATTGTTACAGTTTTAGGTGAAACATTTGTTTTTAAGTTTGGCTCTGCTAAAATTACATGTCATCAGAGCAGTCTTAAACTTTGTTGTCATGGCAATCAGCACACATCTTGTTTTCTTTTGGCTGTGCATGAGAATCAATACATAATACTGTCTTTGCGATAGCTAACGACTGAAAGAACGAAGATACTAATTATAATTCAGTATGCAAATGTGTGCAAGAAATAACACCAATTCAATATTAAATTTACTACAATGATATCACTACTGAGTGATATTAATATGAGACTTTTACCTTTTGAAGTTTTCAAAAACCAATAGTATGTCAAATTCTGAAATGATCTACAAAGAAACCTGAATGTAGTTTGTACCTTCAACAGCTGAATTATAGAAAATTATGAACAAAGAAGTAGAACAACAAGAAAGTTCTGCTTTGCAAAATATATAATTGAGCGTTCATAGGTTTTTTGTGTGCTTTCTTGCCTCAGTTCGGTGGGCTAGAGGCCATAATCACAGCTGTAATGGATGAGTACCCAGATACCCTGTCCCATCGGAGAGAGCTGTTTGTTCTTGGACTGGTGGTTGTTTGCTTTCTGGGCTCTCTCAGCACCCTTACTAATGTGAGTTTCAGAGAACTTCTGGATCTCAGTTTGTTGAAGTTTACCAATATAATAAGAATATTTCAGCAGTGCAACACAAAATTGTAAAAACAGAGTATATAATATAGTCTTTCTTGCAGGACAGGTGGGTTATTAAAGATGAAAAAATATGTTTTACCAAATAATGTAACTGAAAATTGCTGACAGACAGACAGAGTTTGGCACTTTATTTAATATGTAACTTTTTTTGTTTTTGCAAGGGTGGTGCATATGTGGTAAAGTTACTAGAAGAATTTGGAGTTGGTTCTTCAATTAAAGCTGTTTTCAACTGTGATAATAAATGTTATGGTGACACTGAAGACTGCAGTAATGACTGTTTCAGCTTTGTCATCACAGGAATAAATTACAGTTTCATTTTTTTATTTAGCATATTATAAATTGTAATAATATTTCATAATATTTCATATTTATTGCCAAAATATATTTTTTTCTTGCAAATATCATGTCTAAGTGTACATGAACAAAAATGTCAGTATATAAAATAAACAAATTTATTTCATTTTCTCCAGGTATTAACAGATTCAGCAATGATATCAAATCAATGTTGGGCTATACTCCAGGACTCTACTGGAAAGTGTGCTGGGTTGCTATCAGCCCAGCTTTTCTTGCTGTAAGTTTTAACAAAGATGTTTTGACAGTATGTGCAAAGTTTGTGAAATGTTAAAGTCATCTTTCACGCTCTCAAAACTATTTAAGCACCCACAACCTCCTTTCCACCCTTATTACCTTTATAATCTCATTCCCTCAGCTGTCCACACAGTCACGATTCCCAGTCTGCAAATGTCAAACCGCATGCACTCTTATAGCCTAATATTCCTCAGATACTTCTGCATGCATCACAGCTAACCTCAACAGGCCTTAGCTGCCACACACGGCTGACATTTCCACAATCATTTTTTCATAATTTTCCTGTTATTCTTTTTTCATTAAAAAAACAAACAAACATGATAAACGGCTGCCAGTCTCCTCTCCTGAGACAGTGTTTGAGACATTATTTGAAATGCTGGAGAGAAGACATTTGTCACTGTTCCTTCAAGACACAAAGGCCACCGCTACAATTTTCCTGTCTCCATAGACCACATAAGGATGTGTAAGGTCTACAGGATAATGTGGACCTTTTGAATATTAAATAATCTGATCAGAGTCTCACTCTAAAGATGTTTTCAAATTTATCAATCCACCTGAACTCACACAGAGACTGCAGTGACCTATATCCTAATCTAAATTAATTGTTAAACACTTTCAAAATTATATATGACATTTAAAAAAAAAAAATGTATGTTTGATAAATGGAACTTTTCAAAGCACCTGCATTGTTTTGACAACAAATAACAGTTTTATTAATTTTAATATGTACAAAATGCTAATTTAACTCACTAAATATTTTTCCTGTTCATTTCTTTAGTACATTATTATCAGCTCACTGATGAACCCTCAGCTCCTCACGCTATTTGACTACGAGTTCCCAGACTGGAGCATCACGGTCGGTTACATCATCGGAGCTTCCTCTTTCATATGGATCCCCATCTACATGGTGTACAAGCTTGTGTGGACCCCAGGCTCTCTTAAACAGGTGAGACATGCATGTGAGTCATTAGTTGAGTAAATGAACAACTACTCCCACTTGAAAAGCATTCTTGTAGATCTCAGGAGAAACTTCTAAGTCTACTGAAGGAATAGTTCACCCAAAAATTAAAATTTGCTAAATAATTTACTCACCCTCAGGCCACCCAAGATGTAGATGAGTTTGTTTCTTCATCGGAACAGATTTGGAAAAATGTAGCTTTACATCACTTGCTCATCAATGGATCCTCTGCAGTGAATGGGTGCCGTCAGAATGAGAGTCCAAGAAGCTGATAAAAACACAATGATTCACAAGCAATCCACATAACTCCAGTCCACCAATTAATGTCTTTCTTGTGAAAAGCTGCATGTTTGTAATAAACAAATCCATCAAGATGATTTTAACTTCAAACCATTGCTTCTGGCTAAAATACGAGTCCTCTATCCATAATATTGATTTCAATAGTGAAAAAGTCATCTCATCTGAATCAGGAGATAAATATATGCACAGATCAAGCACTGTTTACAAGTCAAAACAGTCCAAAACAGTTCTAAACAAGTCTGTCAGTGGATCTTGATGTGAGAGGACAACAGGGGATGGACTTTTTCACTAGAGGAAGCGTTATTGTGAATTATGGACTTGTATTTTGGCTAGAAGGGACAGTTTAAATTTAAAACATATCAATAATGGATTTGTTTCTTATAAATATGCAGCTTTTCACTTCTCAAGACATTAATTGATGAACTGGCTGTGTTGTGGATTATTATGATATTTTTTGTCACCCATTTCGGCACCCATTCACTGCAGAGGATCCAAGTGATGTAATACAACATTTCTCCAATTCTGCTCCGATGATACATATATAGTTTGACCGGAGGCTGTATATTTGGGTTTTTCAGTAAATTTTAAGCTAATTTAATTTTTTGGGTGAACTATTCCTGTAAGTTATAAAATGGGTGAAGTTGTTCACATTATGTTTTCAATCTAATTTCAGCGTCTTGCTGTATGTCTGCGACCAGAGAGAACACTGCCAGACATTCACACTGACAGTATGGGGCTAAGTCCTGTACCATAGGCCACTGAGAGAAAAACAGCTAAACACAACTCACATAAAAAAGCCACTTATATTGGGATACATGTGTCCACAGCAAACTAAGCAACTTTTGCATAGTTTTAGGGATTTGTCCAATCAAAATATAAAGAATAATATAAATGAAATAAATACATAATGAAATATAAAGAATACATAAAAATTATCTATTTGAAAGTGATGTACAATTAGATTTAATCTGTAAAATGAAAACTGACATTCAGTGTAAATTATAATCGTTAATTTAACAATCTGTGCAATTTACAAATAGTTGATGTTCTATTTTAATTTAAGGTTTATGTATAAGATGAAGAGTTCAGTGGTATTTTTTACATTGTAAGTTATATGTACCCTCCAAGTCACAGAACGTTTTTTGAGATACATGCAAAATTAGATTACCTCATTGTGAAAAATTCAGCCAGTGAGAACAGAGAACTTCATACACATTTCTCACTCATTTTTTTTTTCAGAAATAACTGTTGTCAAGATTGAATCATTATGGTGTTTTTCTGCCTTAACTCTGCCTAAATATTGTAGCTACTTTGTCAAAACTTTGTAAAATTTGTATTGATATTGTGCCTCACCAAAAAAAGGACAAAAAGACAAAAATAAGGGTTTCTTCTGAACTAACATTACATGACTGTTTGAAATTTTCATTCTCTAAGAAAACTTGAGCCCAAATCCTAGCTATGTGTAACGTGTTCATTTTCTTCCCACGATTTTTTTTTCAAATAAAGAACTGAGGATGTTACTGAACTCTGGATGTGACCAAATATTAAATTGCTATGAATGTCTTATTATGGATAGTTCAAAATGTGGTTCATATACTATGTCTGCACTGTAGGTTGTGGCAGGGAGTTTTGCTTGTATGTATGTCTGGAAAATTAATAAAGCTGTATTGAACATTCCTATCTATATCTATCTGTCTATCTATCTATCATTCTATCTTCACTGTAAAAAAAATTCCATAAAATTTACGGTAAAAAAACGGCAGCTGTGGTTGCCGGAATTTTACCGTAAAAATACGGTAGCAACGTTTTAGGTTTTACGGTTTTAATGTTCTATGAACTAGCGTTGTAACCATCTATCTATTCAGATTTACAATACTATGTGTGATTCCCACTTTCGTTCTCTTAGTGTGAACAGCCTTGCACCTTAATTAACATGTTGATTTGCATTGAGCTGCAGTATCCAGCATCTGTAAACACACAAGGGGTAAGAGAACAGCATTGTGTCAGGTATTTAAATGAGATGTTTTATTAAAGACTAGATCTTCAATCGCCACCAATCGCAGGTCTGGGAAACGCGGCTCAGTTCTGCCAGTTTTAGGTATGGGGTGAGAGAATAGAGCAAAGATAATGCTATTCCACATTCAGCCACTTCTAGCAGAGGCCGCAGAATGGATCAAAGGCTTCAGTGCAAGCGACTGGAGTAGAGGTGGACCTCAGATTCAACTACAGAGGAGCCTAACAAAAGGGCTGCAGGCTCTGTGCTCCTCTGTTAATTACCAAAATGAAAGACCAAGAGTTGCATGGAAAAGGCTAGTGAGTGACAAACTGTATGTGACCTGTAATAACAGTGTTTCATGAGGTGAAGTTGAGGCCATAGAAGAATCTAAAGCAGGATTTAACAAACTAGGTTCACCAACACATTTGATGAAAAGCCAATAATAAATCATTTTAAAATTAAAATTACAAACAACAACAACAAAAAAAACTATAAAAAGATACAAAATTATTTGTTTACCTCCATGTACTAATGTGATCATTAATCAACATCAGAGAACCATGAACATGCAAATATGTTATTAAATTACTGAAATATTAACTTTATTACATTTATAAGAGGGTACCTTAAGCTAATGTCACACATTTGATGAAAAGCCAATAATAAATCATTTTAAAATTAAAATTGCAACAACAACAAAAAAAACTATAAAAAGATACAAAAATATTTGTTTACCTCCATGTACTAATGTGATCATTAATCAACATCAGAGAACCATGAACATGCAAATATGTTATTAAATTACTGAAATATTAACTTTATTACATTTATAAGAGGGTACCTTAAGCTAATGTCAAAGGGGTTTGGCTGACAAAAAAGTCTGGGAATCCTTAATCTAACGCATGGAGCATTTAATTATAAGTCTATCATTCAGAATTTGTTATAATTTAACAAACATACAGGTTTAACATGAACGCAATTCTAAATGCAAGGTATTCTGGTCAAAAATTACCATTTATGTAATGCCTCAACTAAAAGAATCTTTGCACACTTGGTTAAGATATTAATTTTGCGATAATGACTGAGAAACAAATACAGATTTTAGTTTAAATGATCTAATTTGTAGATTAATTTAAAACTTAAGTATACATACTCAATTACAACAGAACAAAACTCTCATAAAGACAAAATCTAAAAATTCATAGACAGACTGATAATGCATTTTCACAGTTATTAATATTATAACTCTAGCAAACTTTTATATTTTGTATATTTAATATACAAAACTGTTAATGAACATTTATAACACTATGATATGTGTTTTCTTACCATGGCATTAAATTGCATTGCCTAATTAATGCTGTTTCAAAAGCTGAGGGGAGTGACAGCAAATTTGACATCTTTCTCTCTTTTGACCAAGTAATCAATCACTCAGAGAATTTTTTTAATTCTTTTTTTAGGAAGCAAAATAGTGAATAGTGAAGTCTTCCAATATTTGGCAAAACTCAAAACATTTTGAGGTGCAAGATGACTGCAGTAGTTTTTCTAATATGCTATATAAAAAGAGACAGAGGCACGAAAGTAGCACCAGCATGTTGCTATAGTCAATGGTCAAATAACCTGCTGTCATTATATAAAAATACTGACCAAACAGAATCGAGCATCGTGGAGAGTGACCTACAGTACATTGCGTGCAAAAAAAAAAAAAGTTCTCCAGAGCATCATCATTGAATTTATGGTAAACATGTAAAAGGTCTGTCACAATAAAATCAATCATGCACAAGTTGCATAATCGCATTGGAAACTGCGAAGGGCATCCACTGGGATGTTCATGTTGGTTTAACTCGACGGCTTTAGGACCTTCCAGCAGCGTCGAGCTGTGTGGATTGGTTTGCATCCTGCTCGCTGTTTCGCTACAATGTCAGCACGCCTGATCTCTCTCATCGCTTGCTACATACCCTTTTTCCAATCTGGAAATGCTCAACTGGGAGAGTCTAAATTACATGATAGACCTTATGAAGTCCTGCTGAGGCAAAATCTGGGTAAGAATTTCATTTACACACGCGACTGAACCTGTGTCAGGCCTATTACATCTACAAAGGGTGAACCTGCCATTGTGTCACTTAACATGTCAGCACAGTTTATCATAGATTCAGTTGTACATGTGTTTTCGCTAAAAATTGGGTTCTCGGTTAAAGCCTTGATCGTAATATACTGCACTAGATGAACATCAGTGGATTTATTTGAATTGTTCGTTTATTTTGTCTCCTTCTGCAGTTCTTCTAATAAGTGTTCTGTCCACGCTGCTGGTGGTCATGATTGGAATGGCAGTTTGTGTCTACAAACCTCTTCGACGCAGGTGACAGGCCGTCCAGACGCTGGGAACCGAACACCACTATGGCGACGGCGAAGGCTTGGTTTTGAATATTAATGAGCCAAACCAAGCCATTGGACGAGAACAAAGCTACGTCATCACGAACTATTTAATAGTCGGGAACCGAACACCACTATGGCGACGGCGAAGGCTTGGTTGTGAATATTAATGAGCCAAACCAAGCCATTGGACGAGAACAAAGCTACGTCATCACGAACTATTTAATAGTCGGGATCCAACACTTTGCTATTGGAAGGTTACGAATCAACGTCAGTATGACCTAATTAATATTGATGAAACCCTTGGCGTCTTTCCCTGCAACACTTTAATTAAATCGAGTCACAATCTTCGATGAAACGTCAGTGTAATGAATCCAAATCTTCCCAAACCTAGCTTATAATTTAATTTTTAAAACCGAACACTATTTCAAACACATGCATACCACATAAGGATGTTTTTCTTAATGTGCACAGTTTGTAAGCTGCTAAAATGTTCACAGTCTGAATTTATACGTATTTATTTTTTTTATTTAATTTTATTTTCATGTATTTATTGTAAGATGTTTATTTGACCGTTCTGAAATGCCATACCTCTTGAATAGGGCTACTGAATAAATTAAAGTCAAAATCTGTATGAATGTGCTTGTGTTCAAAATTAATGACTGAATGCAACAATGCTAAATCAACATGTTATACACTTAGTTTCCATTTTTGTTACGTTTTACTATACTTCTGTAATTACAATCTCTGAAAAAAAGCTACAAAACTATCACTGGGGTAGTATCCTTTCAAACCCATTACCATTAGTGTACCATTAAAAGTAATATATGGTTGTAGTTGGTGTGAGATTGTAGTAATACCGTGCTTCTGTATAATATATCATGGTACTGAATACTTAGCATATTTTCTCTCTCTCTATCCACCTTTTTCTTCAACGCGGAAGTAAGCCTATGGGTGAGACTTCCGGTTCATTAGCCGCTATAGGTAAATAACGAGGAGAATAACAACGTGCAGTAAACGGTAAAACTGTTTACACTACAAACCAGTGTGCTCATAATTAAGATAATACATTAAAATAATATGATAAGACACACCAACTTTCAATATCAAGCAGCAAAACGAACTGTTTTGTTCAGCTAAAAATAGCTGTACGGAGTGGACGCAGATGAGACCGGAAGCCAGACCCATAGAATTTACAAATGGCCGCGCCCATTTTTACGACAAGAAAAAGGTGGATAGCTTGTCTGCTTAAGTGTCCTCTCCTCAATCTCAACAGTCACTGTGTGAATTTCTTTTTCTCATTAGGGGAGAAACAACTCATCCTTCTAATCCAGTCGCATGTAATAAGATCAGCATCTGCTGAGCAGGTTATCTCTACCTCACACAGGTTAAATCGAGGACAGATGGATACTTTTATATATATTTGCATAATGATTTTTCATCACATTTTTAGCAGTTGGTCCATAAGTCAAGCACCTGCTTAGCAGAAGGCGCGGAAATAGTTAACAGAAAGTTGCTTTGAATAATTTGCCACAAGACACTTGAGCTAGTCAGGCAACCCAAATGAGGGAAGGAAACAGTTTCCTGTAAAAGTAATTAAATTAACAAGTTGTAGCATTTAGGATCCTTCTGTATTTTGGGTAACACACGTTTTACTGTTTACTGCACTTTGTTATTCCTCTAGTTATTTCCTATAGTGGCTAATGAATCAGAAGACTTGCACATTAACAGAAAATATCTTACTTTAGTGTTGCAAAAAGGTGATATAGTCATGTATGTAAACACGACTGATGTGATTTCTTACTCGCTACATAAAAAAATCGATTTGACTGTGAGACTGAATTTGTTACAGTAGGTTTAAGAAGTACACAAGTTGATCAACTAAGAACCTACAATTAACCTATAATTGATATTAAATTATATGTGGTTTACAAAGTCAACCAATCTGCTGGTCTGCATTCACTTTGTACTAATAAACCAATCCTACTTTTCTTATATAGGAAATAGTTTGCTTTTTCCATAACGGTAGAAACAGTCCATGTACAAAAGCCTTTCAGTTTATGCTAGATCATGTGATCATTGTGTAAAACTGTTAACACTTTACAATAAGGTTCCATTTGTTAACATTAGTTAATGAAAAACACTTCTGATGCATTTATTAACCTCAGTTAAACTTTGTTAATACATTAAAATTTTAAGTCTTTGATAATATTTAATGGATTTGAGCTGACACAAACAGTTGTGTTTTTATTAACATTAACAAAGATTAATAAATATGACAATTAATGTATTAGTCATTGTTAATGCATTAACTGTTAACTATTGGGACCTTATTGTAAAGCGTTACCGTAAAACCCTATTACATTTCAGTAGCTTTAATGTAAAGTTTGATGCATTTGACATGCAATAAAATTCCTCCATGTCAGCTTCTTCAAAACTGATATTTCTATCACTTCCAGATGTGATCTCACTGCAATCATGACTTCATTCCCACAGACTGAGACTGACTGCACACTGCCTCAAACCACTGCTGACATACAGCTTTCCTCTGCCAACACATGCCACTCGAAGGTCTGTTGAGATGGGAGCGCAGATGAGGTGCCAAGACAACCGTTCACATCTAGGGACCTATTAAGAAATGTCACTTTACACAATATTTCTCAATGGGAAAGTGTATCTTTGGATGAATAAACAACCTTCTTTATGCACTTCTCTGTGTATGAGGCTAATAAACTATCATACACCATTGTGCCACATCCTCTAATTCTCTCTTTTTTACAATAATATTACTATAATTGGTGTAATTTGGACTAGATTGAACATTGGATTACGTCACAATTTTTGCGTCCACAAATTGAAAACACACTTGCAAATACAATTTGCAATTACAATTTGCAATTCCTTTTGAACATAGTCCAGAAAATACTTCCAAAAGATAACGTTTTTGAAAAAGAGATATTACAAAAAACATTCAAGACGTAATGATAATATAAAAAAGAAGACAAAGATAGTTACGCATTAGAACAGTGCCATCTGTTGGTTTGTTTAATAAAATTCATGAGGCACAGGACAGATTATATACAGTATTCTCAGACCCGACCAACCTGGTAACCTTTAGGAAACTTGAAATAAAAGTTAAATAAATTAATAGAATTAAAATGCTCTTTAAAAAACAAATAATTAAATAAATTACAAACTGCATGAATCTTACGATTAAAAAAGTATAATTTCATGGTTTTTATGGATGTTCATAATTTTGACGTTTCAGATATTGTGCCACTAATAACCACTTTTCAAATTTAAAGTAAAAATAAATGTTTATAACTTAGATCTTATGATGAAATTGTTCTTATCACTTTGATTGCTTTTATACCTTTATTATTTGATTTGCCATTGCTATGCAGCTGTCACATAGTTAATGAAGCGCCAAAAAGTCAATAAAGTGCTTTTATTAAAGTACAAATATTTTTTTGTGTGTGTGTGTGTGTGTGTGTGTGTGTCAAATATACATCACAGTTTACAAATGCCTTCAGGATTTCGTCAACATGCTCAAACAGGATACTTTCTCTTGCATTTTGCAGAATGACAATTAACCGAGAATCAAACCAACACTAACCCTGATCCGGTAAAGACCATTAAACATTTTGGCAATTCGCTCGAGTTAAGACTTATACCTAAATACCAAAAGTTAAATTGGGTTTTAAATAAAGAATGAAACTGAATTCTGTGTCCAGGAATAATGATATGTGGATAATCATAACCAGAACATTTGATTTTCTCTACACTGTTATTTAAATGCAGCATAACAATAAATACAGGAAACTAAAATCAATGTCCTGTTAATAAAACTATCTATTATTAATGAAAGATTGTGGCTGCCACTATCCTCAGATCCTGGTTCACTACAGGAAGAGTAAAGCAATATAAATGTCTATTTAAGGTGACAGAAGATATGGTTTAAATCGGTACAAGCACACACTGCTTTATACAAAAAGTAGTGAGAGATACTGCAAGCTGTAAGTCAATACTCAGACGTCTTTTGAGCCTCACAAGGCTTTACAGAAAGAAATCAACAAAAGAACATTCAAGACATCAAGAAAAAAAAATAAAAAATTGACAAAATAAATATCACTGTCAGCTACAACAGGAAGGAACAGCAAAAGATTCCTAAACAGAGCAGGGCAGGTTCTTCCACATTTACCACATTGGAACCTCAGTCAGCAAACAATGCTGTCCAACCACACACATTCCCACAGACAGCCATCATCTGAAACAAACAAAAAAAGCTGGTTTTCTTGTCACACATTCCCCTAGTTCTTTAGTGTAGCATGAGGTTTGGTTGGAGACAGAAAAGTGACCCAGTACTGCCACATTCATGCTTAGCATTACAACATAATCACGGCAATTGGAGCGGTTTAATTGTATCATTTTACAAATTAGGCAGACTAAAAGCTTGAGGTGTATTGGCTTACATCGGACAGCCCCTTTCAGAAATATTCCAGTCTGTATGAGTGCCTCTTACTCTGGTGAGGCACGGCGGTGTGATTTATTGCCTTTACAGTAGAGATGCTTCCGTCAGAAATTGTCTAATGACAAAAGCACACAGGCTGAAACTGGTACTGTCCTACTGCTTTGTGTAAAACATTCATTTCTTTCACTTTTCTTGGCTGTGTATAAAATGGTTTTAAAGGAACCGACAACTGGTGAATATCAGTTGAACCCTGAGTACAATATTAATATAAACCAAAAGCTAATGTTAATGCAAAACAACCTTCTTTTCGGTCAAGAAAAACAATAAAACTTTATCTAGTCATTACTGTCAAGACGTACAAACTCATAGGTCCATGTTTGGACTGTCAAAGACATCACAACCTTTCTATCACAATCTTAAAAAAGCAGCACTGGATTTCTTGTAAAATACATGCATGATCACCTCTTTGAAGGAGGAAAAGAACATGGGAAAATGCAGTAAAATGTATGAGTGAGCATGAAATAAATGTTTGCTTATTTTTTTTAAGGATAAGGAAGCAGAACCTTTCGGATGTTGGCTCCAAAATGAATATGTAAATATGTGTAGTCGTATGTCAGTGGCAATAGAGAACTGCATGAATCTGATAAATAAAAATGTTAATGGTTATGGCAATAACAGGATCTCCCTTTGTCTATCCTTCCCTCATCTTATTCTGTCACTTTTCTGTTAAGGAGAGTTGTAAAATCTTCTGTAATTCCTCTTCTTCTTCCTTCTTTTTCTTTTCCTCCTCCTCCTGGGCCCGGGCCGAGATCTCCATAGCCAATCGCAGATCAGTGTCGGGGCTGGAGGTGGAGCCAGAGCTTGAGGGTGTGGTGTCACTAAGGTCTACTAAAACTCCTTCAGACCCAGATCTGTGGTAATGTGACAGAATGAGACTATTTAAGAAAATGTACACAAGAACTGACTGAGAGCATTTTGAAAGATCACCCTAACCATACTTTTCTTCTGCTCAAAAGTTTGGGGTCGGTGAGATTTTTTCAAAATGTTTTTGAAAGAAGTCTCATATGCTCACCAGGACGGCATATATTTGATCAAAAATACAAGATACAAATAAAAGAAACAACAGTAATATTGTGAAATATTATTGTTTTCTGTTATAATACATTTTAAAATGCAATTTATTCCTGTGCTGGCAAAGCTGAGTTTTCAGCAGCCATTACTCCAGTCTTCAGTGTCACATGACCTTTCAAAATCAGTCTAATATTCTGATTTGGTGCTCAAGAAACATTTCTTATTGAAAACTGTTGTGGAAACCATGATAAATTTGTTTTCAGGATTCTTTGATGAATAGAAAGTTTAAAAGAACATTTTTTTTAATAGAAATGTTTTGTAACATTATAAATGTCTTTATTTTATATACCAATTTAATGCACTCTTTTTAAAAGTATTCATAAAATCATTTACTTTCTTTAAAAAAAAAAAAATTATAAAAAATCTTACAGACCTCAATCTTTTGAACAGTATGTGTAACTCAATTTGCCCCTGGAAAAATAATTATGAACACATAAAAATTACCCATCACTCAACCGGTTCATCATGGATTGTGTTGTCTGTCCATCGGAATCACTCCAAGTGTCCTAAAACAAAACAGCCAGCCAGACTGTTTTTGAGACAGACATCATCAAGAAATGCACAAAATACACTAAGAGGAAGCTCTCTGACCTGTGAATTCAGTGTACTGGACTCAAGCAGGCTCTGGTGAATGGCATACTGGAGCAGCTCTTCATCATGACTGACTGGGTTGTAATTGCGTGTGTTGGAGCGGCGGTAGCCCCCTCGGTGGTGATAGTGCGCAGGTGCCATGAACACAGATGGACACACCTTGAATGGAGCATGTCCTGCAGGAGCAAGTAAACAACTCAGCACATTTAGTGAAACACATTACATTTAATGTTCATGTTAGAACAGTTCCCTGCTCAACTAACCAAATAACTCATATTTGAGGTGCTTTGAGATGATCAGAGTCAGAGTTTGGGATTGGTACAGTCAAAAGGTCTTCTCTGCGTTTTTATTCTGGAACAGACGAGGAATCAATATGTTTCCAAACCTGAAGCCTGGCTGCCACAGATCTCTTCTGTAGGTGTGGGTGTAGAAGCTGACTGGATGGAGTCCAGAGGCTCATCTGTACTGCAATTGTTGATGTTTCCAAACGTGATGCGGGCATTCAACACATGGAACAGAGGGATTTCTGAAGAAACAGAAACAGTATTAATCCTGTGATCTAGTTAGAGGCATGTTCTGTCTTATATTAAAGCCATTCACACAAGAAATATATAGAATCAGTATCAGTCTTCCTTGTCTCGGTATACTTGACTACGGTCATTTGGAGTTTTTGGACGAGGTGAAAAACTAAGGGAAACTGATGTAAGCAGAAATTTCTTACAAAGTTAAGACCACACTTAAGTTCAGACTTGAAACATGAAAACAGTCTTGAGAAACTTGTGAGAAGGACGGCTAGATTAGTTAATACTAAACTCTCTTCCATACACAATTTGCAAATATTTAGTGTAATTTAAAGAGTGTACTTGCAGTTTTGTTGCAGGTTAGATAAGTTAATATTCAATCCGATGCATTAAATTACAAATGCGATTTTTATGCAGGACAGGGTTTAATTTCAGAACTGAGCAGTAGGGCTGTTTGATCCTCTTTTTCATTCTCTCACTCACCGATTTTCACAGGGAAGCCAGGGGGAAACCTGAGGTTGATGAAGTCCCCGAGTCGAGCGAAGTGAGTGCTGGTGCGAGCCATCAGGTCAATGATGGGAGTGACCTGCTCCACCAGAGACAGAGGATGCTCCTCGCTCATCCACAGGGTGCCTTTAAACCTGAGAGGGGGTCGAAACACAAAAACACAACCATTTCTTCAATTATATTTGTGTGTAATAAATTACTTATTTATATTTAATTATTTATTTAAAAGTAATTTTAGTGAGGTTGAGTGAATGGTCAGACTTACTTCTGTGTTCTGATGGTGAGCTCAATGGGTCGACCGATGTCTCTGCCCTGCAGGTCAAAGTTGGGGTTAAAGTACTCTTCTGGAGTAATAGCTGTGGGGTTTGTGGCAGTGGCAAACTCCATAGTCATGTCCTGTAATCATACCTAGAAACAATCAATACAGAATCCTTCCAGCTTTGTAAAACACAAGTGTCTCAATGTTTTTTTTTTTAAACTGTACACTTAAAAATTTATAAATGTCACTGAATTAGACAACAAAATATTAAACCAAGCTTTAATAAAAAAAATAAAAAAAAAGAGAGAACAATATTTATTTTCAAGCTAAATATTCCACAAAAACAAATTTGTTAGGTTTCAAATTATAAATAAATACATATACTGTTCAAAAATGAATAACGTACTTTTACAATACGTTAGTGGAACATGATGATCATCATCAATGTGATGAACTACTTTGCTATGACACCTGAGGAGAACTGACTTCATACATTCAATTAAAAACACCTTGACACTTATTTGTTAAAAGTAATTTTTAATATGGCTCAAAAAGGCCATAAGGCTATATCTAATATGGCTCTCATTTATTTGTGAGAAAAGATCATACATTTGTTTGGAGATGTCACTTGGTTTGCAATTTTATATCAAATTCATTGACATTCAAAAATGTATAAGTGTGGCTAAAGTGCCCAAATACTTAAGAAGAAAACAAATTCACAGTGTCTGGTTTGTTTGCTCATCTTACCCCTTGAGCACCGATCTGTTGTTCTACGGTCCCGAGTAAAGACTCCAGAACATTCCTTTCACCTGTTGAGATCAAAAGCATCAGTAGTTGATGATATTAACCAGTTAACATAACAGGGAACTGCAGGGAACTATTGACCCTTTACCACTGACAGGGTGCTGGAGCTCAATCTGAAACCATTTCATGCATTTTCATCGCCAGAAAAAAATATTGGCTAAAAAAAAAACTGGCTTCAAACTGACCCCTACAACTTGAAACCGATAATGTCAGAGGCCAGGGGACAACATAATGTCAGCACTAAATAAAGTTTTCAAAACAGCAACTTAGTTTGACAAGGCTTATGCAAAACAAAACTATACTATACAAAACTATACTGTAGTGTTATACAATACCAGAGTTATTAATATACTAGTTATGAACTGTAATAATGTTAATTAGATCACAGTCAAGTGGAAACACAGGGAGATTTGCAGTTCCCGGTCGAGCACCAGCACTATTTTGGTAGAAAAGGGGAATGATATTTATAGTGTAAATCTTAAAGTGGGTTAATTACTTTTTATCCTGGCCTTCTCCTCATCTGTGAGGTGCTCCGTCCTGGTGCGAATCACAACGTTCACATTGTTCACTGAAAAAACCTGCCAAAAGCAGTATCATCACCCACAGGACAAAGACTGCCTTATTCTGAAACTCACTGCTCTAAAAAAAGAGTCACTTTTTTCACTTTGGAGTTTCTGTAACTCTAAAAGGGCACATTTGTTTTTCTTTCCAGTGATTCTTAATGGTACTGTAGTTCATAAACAGCTGGTCATTTGCTTACCTTGGCTTCAAATCCATTTACTACTTCTGTTCTGTCTGACCTCCAACCCCAGATACCGGATTTAGACCTGAGCACAGAATACGTTTTTAATAGCATGTTCGATTTCTTCTTCAGGAGCAAAAATGTTTTTTTTTATGTATGTTTAGTTCTGTGAATCAAACAATTAGTCACTGTGCAACAATGTACAAGGAAATCCACGTGTGACATTTTTCATATACACCACCATTCAAAAGTTTGGGGTCAGAAAGATTTTTTTTTTTGTTAAAGAAATTAATACGTTTTTGTGAATTTGGCAAAATTGACAAATAAAAGCTGTTCTTTTGAACATTCTATTTATCAAAGAATCCTAAAGACAATTTATGTTTCCACAAAATATTAAGCAGCACAATTTTTTGTAACATTGAACATTTTTAACATTAAAACAGAAGACGGAGTAATGGATGGTGAAAAATCTGCTTAAATTACATTTTCAAATATATTAAAATAGAAAACGGTTATTTTGAATTGTAATAATATTTCACAATATTACTATTTCCACTGTGTTTTTCATCTAATAACACACTTGGTGACAATAAGAGGCTTCTTTTAAAACCATTAAAGTCTTCCTGACCCCAAACTTTTAAATGGTAGAGCATTTATTAGATGTAAATCTTATATCTAGGGCCATACCTCTCAAACGCAATGTCCTTTGTGTCCAGATATGTGTTGACAATGGGTGTTGTCAGCCTCTTGGCTACTTCCTGCTCGGCGGGCTGCATGGAGTCTAGTGTGACGTCCTCTATCTCACGGGAGAGATCAAAGCGCTCAGTGTCCACCACTTCGTCCTCGTGATTAACTTCCATCAGTTCAGTGCAGTTGTCTGTGAGTATGCACATGCAAAGTCCACATGATACTGATCAACTACAAATAAACATCAGGCATTTCACTCATCCTCAAATGAAGTGCATTAGTAAACATACAAATGTGAAATGAGAATTCACAGCACGTTTGCTAGAACCCCACCACCAAATGAATGTGTAAACCACGGATGGTCAGAATGGTCGACTAGGCTTTTAAAAAAATAAAGCAATTGTAAACTCATGCAAACAGGCAGAGAAAATAACCTTCTCCTCTAAAGATATAGCTTCTTCTTCCTCTGATCCAGGTCATGTTTTCAAAGCCCAGCAAGGTGGTGTCCACCCTCAGACAGGCTCCACTCTTCCAGATTCTGCACACGTCGCTGGGACACACACGTGATACGAGAGGAACTGGAGCCAGAGCAGAAGCAGCAGATGAGGATCATTCTACAGCCTAATAAAGCCATAAGGATTTATGTACAGAAAAGGTGAGAAAAAAAAAAAAAAAAGAGCACTTACTCCAGCTAGTGAACTCCCACTTCATCTCCATGTAGAAATCTGGAGACTAGGACAAAAAGAGGTTCGTTACACTTTAGGCCCTTTCACATGACTCGCATCAGGGCTTCAACGCACCTCTCAACTCAAGCATCATGCACCACTTTGACCTCCATATAAAAAGTGTTGCAAATAGCATCAAAGAAGGGCAATTTTATGAGGTTGTTAGGTAGTAAGAAAGCATATGCTGTAAACAGTGAATAGTGAGAGTAAAAAAAAAAGATAACATATTTGAGCATAGAACAGAAAATGCACGTGACAAATGAAAAAAGTCAACCTGATTGCTTTAGTAATAAAACAGCTATGAATATCACAAAATGACTTTGATGTTTTCACAAAGGATGGGTTTTGTAATGGCCGTGCAGCTAAATGACAGCAAAAGCACATAATATCTGAACACTTGAACTACCACTCAAAAGTTTGGTGTCGGTAAGATTTTAATTTTTTGAAAGAAATTAATACTTTCATTCAGCAAGGACACATTAAATTGATCAAGTGTGTCGGTTAAGACATTTATAATGTACAAAAGACTTCTATTTCATACAAACGCTGTTCTTTTAAACTTTCTATTCATCATAGAATGTATCACCGTTTCCACAAAAATATTAAGCAGCACAGCTGTATCCAAGATTGATCATAAGAAATGTTTCTTGAGCACCAAATCAACATTTTAGAATGATTTCTATAGGATCATGTGACACTGAAGACTGGAGTAATGACTGCTGGAAATTCAGCTTTGACATCACAGGAAAAAAAAATATTTTAAAATATATTACAACAGAAAACAGCTATTTTAAACTTTAATAATATTTTACAAGATTACTGTCTTTATTTTTGATCAAATAAATGCAGCCTGGGTGAACACAGGTGACTACTTTTAAAAAATATTACCAAATTTGACAAAGTTCCCTCAAACTTTTGAAAGATAATGTACATTATACAATATCAGCTCAAAATTCACCAAAATAATAAACAAAATCAAATGACAGACGCACCTCTCGGATCTTGCACAGTAACTCTGGAACACCACCCAGCGCAGTGGAGGCTTTGAGATAATCTCGTCGCTGGAGAACCAGCTGCACCATCTCTGGATCTCCTGTGCTGACTGCTTCCTGCAGCACTGTACAGACAACAACAGACCTACATCTGCTTTAACTGGACTCTTAGGTATTTATCTTTATCTAAGGATATGGGCTTGTAATGGAAATGTAAACATACTAGCTTCTATTATATAGTGCACTATAAATCACATAGGACAAAAAAGACATCTGCTAAATGACCAGTAAGTGTCTTTGAGGAGGTGATCATTAGAGTATATATAACACTGCATGACCAGAGGTATTAAACGCTTTCACTGCCTGGGAAATCTACTGATGTGCAAGTGGTCATAATAGTTGTAATGGTATTGGGGGCCAATGCAATTTACTCCAAAGACTGCTGTGGATTTACTGCAAAATTATCTGATGTCTTATCACTGTAAAAGACCTACAAGTTGACTAATGTGCAATTCATAAGCTCTATTCTCACCCGTCCAATTTTTGCCATTCTCTTTGGAAACATCTGCGCCGTGTCTGAGCAGCACTCTCACCGACTCCAAGTGTCCTAGTGAAACGGCCAGGTGCAGAGGGGTCCGGCCCCTGGGATCCACCTCTTCAATGTTACTCTGAAAGGAGTGTAAACACAGATGGCTCATAACTTAGTGAGGAAAATGAGAAGGGCCGAAACTCATAAGCATTGCTGTTGAAAATGAAAATGAAAATGTGGAATGCAACTGTCATTAACCCAAACAACGGATACTCTTCCTGTGGAATGGTCTGTCATATATAGTAGCGGTATTCGATCTTTCAGATGCCATGGACATTCAAAGGTGAGAGACCCCATCCTAAAACTTAAAAGTCAGCTATATACTTACATGAATAAAAACACTGTTTAATGTGAAAAATTATGTAATTGTTAAATAAATGTTACAAATATGTGTAAAATATTATTTGGAAAAATCTAGTTTCTATTATGTTACATTATTATCTTTTTTTATATTCACCACAGTACTGCACTGCTAGATGTATTATTTATTTATTTCAATACTCATTTATTTATTTAGTTCACTTAGTATTTCTTAGGCTACTATTAGTATACTCTTACTATTTATTTATTTTGACACGTTTTTTCCCTCCAGGTTTTTCCACGAACCCCAGTTTGAAAAAACGTGATCTACAGCAAAATGAAGCTTTATTGATGTTAGGATGAGCTCACCAGCTCTCCAGTGCAATGACATACAGCAGTGCTGTAGCTAACAAGTGGATGGCAAGCTGATGAAGCATTTGCAGTAAGATCCAATAATGCACCAATTCCAATTTCATTAGATTATTAAATACATGACAAGCATGTCATGAAATCCACTGGAGGCAGAAATCTCACAGCAGTCAATTGATTCTACCATCAGCTGCACCACCAGTCCACATACATCAGCATTTACGGATATCCCACACATACCGTCTGTATCTCTTTTTCCAGCTTCCTGTAATCATTCTCCCAGACCAGGGTATGCAGTGGAAACCTTAGGCTGAAATCCTCGACGCTGGCAGCGGTGGCGGATAACATTCTGGCTCGATCAAACTCTCCGTGTCTCCCCCTCCAAAATTAAGAGCCAGCCTGCGAGCTAGCTACGTTACTGTCATGAACCATCAAAGCTCTTCATGCGTTTAATTAATTGTTGATAATTATACAATGACTCTGACTATTAAACAGGTGGATTTTAGTAAAGGAGACGCCGAAAACGCAACCAACTTTTTTCAAAATAAACTTTTGAAAAACAAGGAAGTGGCAGGTTGAAACTATTTGAGTGGGGGTGTATCCAGTCATTTGACAAATCTTTCCTCTAAACCATTTTGCATTTAATTATATTTGTAAATAATATCCTCAATATAAAATGTTCGATAAAAGACTAATTAGCTATATATGACCTATCAAGAAAAATGGTAAAGGAAAAATTATGTTTTTTTTTTTTGAAATGGGAAAGCCCAACTCCAGACTAAACCATTTCATATGAAGGAGGGGCGGTCGTACCATAAAGTATGGTTATGTTAAGTCAAAGAGTAAATTTTGCGTATTCGTAAATAGAAGTTATTTTTAAAAATTAAGTAAGAAACGATGTAAATAATATCCTCAATATAAAATGTTCGATAAGAGACTAATTAGCTATATATGACCTATCAAAAAAAATGGTAAAGGAAAAATTATTATTATTTTTTTTTTTAAATGGGAAAGCCCAACTCCAGACTAAACCATTTCATATGAAGGAGGGGCGGTCGTACCATAAAGTATGGTTATGTTAAGTCAAAGAGTAAATTTTGCGTATTCGTAAATAGAAGTTATTTTTAAAAATTAAGCATGAAACGAAAATGTTCTCAATTGAACCATCAGTAAGTAATCGTAATAAATAACTCGCTCGCCTGCGGGTAGGCGCGACGCCTCTGTGTTTTAAATGATCTTCAGCTCATCGGGAGTGGCTCGCGGGCTGGTGAATCACTTCTGCGCATGCGCGGGCACGAACGCAGCATGTTATGATGATCGCGTCCTACATGCCTTTAATCTAATTTCGGACAATGTCTGGTTAATTTCTGAGTTTATAATTGTATTCCAAACATAAATATGATTCATGTTTTCAGAATTACATATTTAATATACTGTATTTTAATATAGTCGTCTCACGGCCCTCGAATAGATGGATAAATTGATCAAATATCTCACGCGTTGCAGTGACGCGTCTGTCCACTGTGTGTCAGGCAGCGCGAGAAAGCTGATTTATCGTAGCTATAAACTCAAATGTGTGGTCTGGGAGGGCAGATGGCACTCTACTGCGATCTGATGTGTTGCTGGCAAGCATTTCCGTAGTGTAGTTTTTAATGCATCACGACCGAGCCTGACTCGTCTGTCCTAATTTCAAGCTAGACAAGGGAGCCCGACATACGTTATTTCACGTTACAGCAGCTAGCGCAGATGCATGCACACATTTAACTCCTCCGTATGAGCGTCCTCTTCGGGCATGAGATCCTCTTTCAGTGATAAAACACTTTTAAACGGATCCGTTCATCATGTCAAAGCGGTGCGTGCTTTAAATTGACCCGTGGACGGTTGTGGCTCGATAATACATGGTAATACCAACGTTCCCGGAGACAAGGATGTCGAAACGGCTGCGAAATAGCGAAGTTTGTGCGGACTGCAGCAGTTCGGGTGAGTATATTTATTCCGGTACTGGATAACCAGGTGATATTACTGAATTAAGTGATCGAAAGATGACATTTAACTATACACATATATGATTCAGATTTTTAAGCAAACCTTAATTATGTTTTGGATGTATAAATGGATAATAAATATATGTATTTTGGAGTGTAATGATGTATTGCCACTGGCTACGTCTCAACTTAGTAAGCTGTCTAGCTAGACAGCATTTTAGTCATCGTAAGCGCGTGCCTAAACATGCTGAACGCTGGCGGCTCGGTAGGTTTTGAGACAGAGCCATTGCATGCAGTGTTGACTCAACACTATGGGTGTTTTCAGCTTCAAATGATGCTGTGAAGATCTATGATCAATCACACTATATTTGACCTTATCTTATTTTCTCTGGAGAAATAGGTAAATTTACTTATTGATCCTCAAGTGGTATTCCTAGTGTAACCGTCTACAATATCTTTGTTTGTTTGTTTGATTGATGGTGTAAGATTGCTTAAAGGAGACATTTTATTCATTTTTTTTTCAATCTTTGAGAAGTCAGGGCACTACATGTATTGGTTAGGGTCACTTGATCATAATAAATATTTATTACTAACAAGTGACCCTAACCAGCACATGTTAAATAATTCTGTTTATTACTAAGTGACCCTAACCAACACATGCAGTGCCCTGACCTCTGAGAGACTGAAGAATGAAACATCATATAACATTGTTGTCCTCATTACAAGATAAATAACTATATCAGAGTTTTGACCTCCAAAGACTATAAATTAGATGAAAAAAAACCACATAAACCCTATATTTGATCAGTTTATGAAATGTACTGTATTTAAGAAGGCACCCGTTTTGGTGCTTAAACTATGAAACGCTGTTAACTTTTTGTCTTGTGATTTGTTTATGTTCTGTTGTTCGGTTTTCTCCTCATTCCCCTTATTGATTCCCCTTGATTAGTTATGCCTCAGTCACCAGCTGGCCTGGGCTGCCCCACCGTGACAGTATCATTGGGCAGTTGTTGTTAGGGTGAATATTTTTAGTCATTCAGCACTGGGTTTTATTTTAGCCGCTGCAGCACTTGATGGGGAAGAGAGCAGCACTTGGCTCAAAGAGAAAGAGAAGGAGAGGAAGGGAGACTGAGGGTGAGGGGGAATGATGCTTGTGCCAGGTGCTTGATTCTGGCCCTTGGCCTCTTTGCAGCTGTTGTTTGATACTTCCTGTGCTTGAAGGGAAGTGACTTTTGCTTCTAGGCTGCTCTCTGCTTATCAGTGGATCAGTTTTGAATTTAGATGGCTCATGTTTCTGTCAGACTGATGCAATTGTGGTATCATATATCCCTCACACAGGCTGTGAAACCCAAATTGATCGTTAACTTCTTAAGTGTGGGGATCTTCAATAGCCTGCCCACCTGGCACAGATTTAGTCTAGATTTATCCCTCTAGCTTTCCTCACTTAAGTTAGGGAATAGGGATCATATTTGTAATCCTCTAAAATAGACTGAAGAAAAGAAGTGTGTGTGTGTGTGTGTGTGTGTGTATGTATGTATGTGTATGTATGTATGTATATGTATATATAATTTTTTTTAAGCAAATGAATGCGTTTTGTTTCAATAGTATTTGTTCTTTATTATTTGGTATTTTGAGAGGATATAATGGTACTAAATAATATTCCCCTCTCAATTATTCGCCATTTATTTCTATCTAAAATAATACAAATAAATAAAAATATTTTTTCTAATAATACATTGAGTTAAAAAGAAAGCAATAAAGCATTAGATTTAAAGTCTAATGCATGGAAGGCAGATTTTTATATTTACCTTTGCTGTGTATTCCATAGTTGCTCATAAGAGTATTTTCAGACATAATTACTAACTTTTATTGGGTTTTGCATTTGGATATATACATTTAGACACTATCAATAACTGCTTCATCATGGCTTATTTGTAGATTGTACCCCCTGAAAAAATCTGTGTTTTTTTGTATTTCCTATTAATTTCCTATGCCAGTCATTTTTAATTGCAAAGATCACAAGTGTGACTATTTTTAATACCATTAGCCTTTTCTAAAAAAGTCCAGATTTGTGTGTGTGTGTGTGTGTGTATGTGTTCATATAGCAAATGCAACAAAATTACCAAGTTTTGTACCATTTTGATGAAGTAAAAAATTAAAAAATTTAGGTCCAACATGGCCTAAGACCACCACAGGGTTAAAAGATTTTTGGCTCAAATTTTAATAATCTGTATAACAATATAAAAGTGTGACAATAAAATCCTCAAAACTCTCTGTTCTTGGGGAATTCTGACACTCTCAAGCGCTGACTCGCATCGTTGTTTCTGAAGGAAGTGAAATCACAAGTTGGCCAGAATCTGCCCTTGGGAAAAGTTGGGGGTGTGGGGGGATGGGGATGGGGAACGAAGCTGAAAATATGAACATGTCTTGGGCTGCTCAGACACTTTAGTCATAGGTCCAATGTGGTTGGCCCCACTTTCACTGATCTGGCATCATGACTCAGTGAAGGAGTGAGTATTCTATTAAAAACTGGCTTGATATTGGACGCCCATGAAGGACGATTGCCAGTGACAAGTGTTAATGTATGAGCAGTCATTCTGTCTCTGGGTCATTGAGTTTGTCAAGTGTAGTAGTAGTGGGGGATCTTTAAGTGATCAAGGGTTTGGGGCAGGTCTCAGCTGGTGGGTTGTGACCTAAAAATGGGTTGCAGGTTGCAGCTAACCATATAATGTGCTGAGTATAGTAAAGTGGTGAAAAAATGTAAGTGATAATACTGCTGCAATATTTAGCCCTGTGTTTGTTGCATGTGTTATGCTGGTAAATCACTCTTTTGTGCGCATATGCATTTACAAATGCTATAAAAATCCTTTTCAGTCTATTTTATTTTATGCTAAATTTGTTGGAGATATGCAGTCCATGGTAATTTCATAGATTTTTCAATACTGATCAGATTGCTGAGTATAGTAAAGTGGTGAAAAAATGTAAGTGATAATACTGCTGCAATATTTAGCCCTGTGTTTGTTGCATGTGTTATGCTGGTAAATCACTCTTCTGCTGTTGTTTATGCATTTACAAATGCTATAAAAATCCTTTTCAGTCTATTTTATTTTATGCTAAATTTGTTGGAGATATGCAGTCCATGGTAATTTCATAGATTTTTCAATACTGATCAGATTTTTTTTTTTTACTGTTTTAGGTTGCCACTTGATGCTTCATTTAAATTCTGTAGTTAAACTAGTTTAGAATTACACCGCAGTAGACGATCCTCTCAAATAATCTATAAGGTAGTGAAAGTAAAGCCGTGCAGTGTTTCCCAGTCACCTGCTCGTACCCTGGATGTAAAGCTCAGCTGCTTAGCATTTGTTGTGGTTTGAGGCATGTGTATGTAAGAGGAAGTTAGCGCGTTTACAGCCGAACATGAAAGGATGACATTCAACCCTTGCTACTGTGGCCATATAAGGAAGAAATCAGCACCGCATTGTGTTGTCGTCATATGCTACATATTTTTTAATAGGAAAAATCAAATGCTCATATTTACTTTTGATGAGCATCTCTGCTACTAGTAAGGGTTCATCAGACTATTATAGTGGAACATAAATTAATACTTAACATAAATTGAAATTGTACACTGTATACATCAAATGCATTTTACAGTAAACATTTATTTTTATTGAAAATTAATATGTCAAAA